TGTTTTCAAGCTTAGGGATATTATCATCCTTGTTGCTTTCTCGAAATGCAGCCGGGGTAAAAACTCGTAAATGTATTGCTAGAAAGCTTGAACCCTCTTCTATAAAAATAAACAATTGTAAATCGAAAGATCCGTTCCGATTTTTCACCAGAGAGCAAAAGAGAAATCTGGCGCAAAACGCCACCACTTTTGAGTTTTCATTCGAAACTTCGCAGAGTGATTCGTTTTTGTCCTGTTAGCTCACATTTCAAAATTCAGGTCAAACAGATAACTACAACGGGAATAACAGGGGGTCAAAGTCGCCGTGGTCCAATGATTGGACCACGTGCATTGAGAAGTTAATAGTACTGCTGATAAACGAAGAATGAGATAATACAAAGATGACGATAAGAATAAAGAAAATAATAAAGGTTCAACCAAACAAAGAAAAGTTGAAATCCCTGTGTATAAAAAACCTCTTTTTCGGATGAGGGGGAGGAGATGTAAGGGAGAATATCCCTTACATTAGTGTTTGAGTTGAGAGAGCAATATTCTGTTCTCAGTCACAATGACTTTCCCTATGTTTGGTCGCCGGAGGGCGCTAATTGAGTGAAGATGTTAGGCAAGAATCGCTCTTGCCTGTAGCAAACGCTTGTGTCCATTTCTGGTTACTTCCGGTCAACTTCCGGTCAACTTCCGGTCCACTTCTGGTCACTTCCGGTCCACTTCCGGTCACTTCCGGTTCATTTCCGGTTCACCTCCAGATCAATACTATAAGTGCACATCGATCCATATACCTTACTAGTGCATTACTGAGCTAATGCTCACTTAAAACAGCGCCATCTAGTGTGTGCTCTCGCGCCCAATCTAGTGTTGGCTCTCGCGCCCCATCTAGTGTCAGCTCTCTAGCGCCACCTAGTGGACACTCTAGTGACCTCTAGTGGTGACACACTAGCGCCACCTATGGTGAGCACAAAAACATTTGTTTACAAATAACAATGTATTGACTCAATGTGTGGGTCAATGATTCACTTCTGACGCTTGAATGACATCATCCGAAGAGACTCCTGGAACCTTCTAGCGACAATGACTCACGCTGACGAATTATGACATCATATTGGAGAAGATACTTGATTGTTCTATTACTCTTCTAAGAAGCTACATGATTATTCTATTACTGTTCCACGAAAGTTCTCGAACATTCTTATTATCCCTTTCTGCGTATATAAGGGCGATTTTCGCCTCAATAAATCATTCTAACGAACCAAACAAAAACACTTGTCTTTTTATGCAGCAGAAGAAACCAGCAAACAACAGCAGAAGCAACAACAGCAGCAGCAACAACACCAGCAGCAGCAACCACAACGGCCGCTGAGCAATCAGTGGTAACAAGTACTCTCACGGGTAATTGCGAACTCAGGTCTACGCCTTAGTAGAGCTGTTTTGAGTCTTGAATCTTGTAGTCGCAGTGTATTGTCTATTTAGTCGTACACGCATAGACCCAAGTATAAAAAACCCGAGCAGGAATTTGACTAGCGTCAGGAGACCGGTACCAGGGTACTTTATTTGTGCCCTATTAGTTCCTAACGCCAAATCTCTCAACGGCGATCTTATGCGCGATCAAACGGCATCTTTACGTTCGTCTGAGTCTGCGCTCTCGTCACTTGAGTTCACCGGCCGCGATTTTGATCGCACTGCACAATTTCTCGTGCTTGTCGACAAGATTCACGACACCTACATCGACTCCGACGCCGCACTTGAAGCTACTTTCGTCAAGCAGGTGAAAATGCGACTTGCCGAAAATCCCTACGCCCGACTCAAGGCAACCACGACTTTTACTTCAACCTGGGCCGAGCTGAATGCCTGGATTACCGCCAATTTTGGTCTCACGTCAATTCAATTGTTCACCCGGGCGATCGAGACCGACTACAAGAAAAATTCCTGCTGGAAAGCCTTCGCCACCGACGTCGACTCTCGCATAGCCGCCGTTAAAGCCGCAGTTGTCGAGCAGATACGAGCCCGCAATGCCAAAATTAACGGCAAAAGCAGTGACCATGCCGAAAACGCGCCATCTGTCGATGACATATTTTTCTTCTTCAGCGCCGCCGTTGTGGCAGAAAGACTGAAATCACACGCCGGCCAAACCCACTCCCTTCTCGCGCAAGAATGGAAATCGGTCAACAACGCCGCCGACCTAGCCTGCAAAGCCGAGTTAATAATTGCGCAACCCGGCCGCTCATCTTCTGCCTTCTACACGAGCTACTCTAAGCCGAGCACAAAGCCCGCCAATCCCTCTGACAAAAAGCCCGATCAGAAAAAGACCGGCAAAAAGTGGCGCGAGCCCTGTTAATTGGGCAGAGACTGCCGCAAAGGCAGAGCCGGCAAATGCGAATTCTACAACGGCCCCGGTTTCGGCTCCATAACCCAATTTTCTGCATTTGTCGCCAAGGACAAAGCTCCACAGCAGTCATAGTCGCTTCTCGTCGAGTGTTCGGCGGTTTTTCAATAACTGCTGATGTTACTATGTGTGCAACCTCAGCAGAACTCCTCACTTGCCACACGTACTTCAACCTCGATCTGTCTTTGCGCATAAAAGGCTTCAACCTCAAGTTTCGCGCTCTTGTCGATTCTTGAGCGGCAAAGAACTTCATTCCGATGCACATGCTCCCGCCTGCGGTTCAAGACTTGATAAAACCGTGCGACATGACTTTCAACGGATGTGGTACTATGAGTTCGAGCGGCACTATCTTTGGTCGCCTCTCACACGAAGCAACGCCGCATTTGTTCGACAATGTCACCTTCTATGTCGTAAAACAGAACTTCCCAGCCATTCTCGGCGGCGAATATTTCACCGGTATTCACTTCAAGGATGGCTCATTTTTAAGCGCGATGGTGACCCTATCGGCGAGTTCAAAGAAATGGCACGCATCCCTACTATCTAGGCCTCACCAAAGCTCAACGTGAGCGCCCGATTCCAAAACACCTGCACCCGGAAGTCGAATTAAACGTCTGCAGAATGGCCTCAGGAGGCATCATCGAGCCTTGTAAAGACGGCAAAGACTTCCACTCTCCACTCATCCCCGTCAGAAAGAGCGACGATGGATTGCGCGTCTGCAGCGACTTCAAGGAATCCCTCAACAAGGTGCTCACCAAAACGACCGATTTCTGGCCTTTTTGCACGGCCACAAAATCTTCAACTCCCTCGATTTATCCAAGGCTTACTGAACTTGGTCAGAGACCCACGCGACCGCCACAAAACGAATTTTACATTCGACTCAAAATGCTTGCGATATGTGCGCGTCCCCTTCGGACTTCGATTTTCGGGTGATGCATTCTGGAAAGCCATCGCCAAGATGCTCTCTAAGGTCTTGCTGAAGCAGAATTTCTGCACATATGTCGACGACATATTAGTGTTCTCCGATGACACAGCTACTCATCTGGAAGTCCTACGCCATATCTACGCTGTTTGCCGAGAATACGGCGCTCGACTCGGCGCGAAAAATGCTCATTCGGCAAATTCTCGACCCTATTCATGGGCCGAATCAAAGCCAATCAGAGGCCTGCCTCCGGTTTCCCTTCTGGTCGCCGCTTTTTCCTTTCTGAACCGCCGCGCTCGCGCTAAAACCTGCGCCGCGCGTCCAGTCAACTCTACTCTTCACCCTAGAATCATCATCGTCTGGGGGCTGTCGTTGGTTCTCGAAGAAGCAGATCATGATCCTGTCTTGTTTGCTTGTTTTTATCGCGTACCGTATTTATGCGGAGCGCGCTGCATTTTCCACTCACTTCGTTCTTGCCCGCTCTAAGGAGCCCTTCAAAATATACCAGTCCTATTTCTACGCTAGACCCTCCATGATCTTTTTTGTTACATTATTAGGCATATAATATGCCGCATATTCTTGTAATACTCCTCGTTTTCTAATTCTGGCGAGATCTGATTTGAATAATGTTTCATGTAATCGTCACGCTCAGCCGAATATCTTGTTTGAAATTGCAATTGCGAACAGAGCCGCCCGCCACCCGAAATTGGGAATATTTCATATCCTCCTTGTTATCTGTGATCTCAATATGAACAAGGTGGAATTCGCACTTGGCTCCAATAATCCTGTGCTCTAGTATGCATTACACATTACGCCCTTTTTCTAGAGCCTGACGCAGAAGAGCGTCTTTCTGAATGGATGATCGAGTCGCTTAATTTTCATCCCCAAGAACTTTTTGAAAAACTGACGCTTATAATTTATCCGTAAGCGGAAATGTAATAAACGGGGGCCAATCCCCCAAAGTTATACGTACTATCATAGTCTATCAAGTAGCAGCAGCTTCTTTCATGAGCGAACCGAAAATATTGCTCAAAAGAATTCGCAGAACGCCGTTCTGTATTTTCAGAACGCCGTTCTGGCAGAACGTACCCGCCCGTCACCCTACCCCCTACGTTAGTTAGTATTATAATCACGCACAAATAACAATGGTAATGGGAATATTCCCGAGCACGCGCAATAACAATACTGTGGTAGAGAAAGAGCCTTTCTAAGGTAATGGACTGGGCAGTATGTAGGGCGTGTGCTCGTTTACCCTACATGTACTGCTTATTTCAGGGATGGTGGGCGGGAGAGTCTTTTGATTCAGCTAGGAGTCTTATTGGTAATGCTTCTGCTGAGAAAAAGGCTCTATTTAAAATTCCTTTTTTAGGTTTTAGCTGCAGGCTAAGAACCTTTTGAATGAACCTGCGTGATTTCGGGGCACCCGCTCGAAACCAGGTGCTCTCGGGCGCCTTTGACACCTTCCGCTGCTTCCTGGGAGTCCCTGCCTCTGGTTACTAGGCTTCCTGCCGCGTTCTATTTCTAGCGGGCTGCTAATCCCCTGTCCTAGATTCGGATTATAATCACGCACAAATAACAATGGTAATGGGAATATTCCCTCCCTACCATTCTCGTTATTCTCGTCAATCGATGTCTAAGGATTCTTAATTTGGCAGGAAAAAGGATGGGAAGACTCTTTTTCATGTTGACAGCGTTATCTGTGGTCTAAGCTTCAGTTGTTTTCTGTTTCTTTTGCTTTTGATTGGCTTCTTGTGGTTCTTGGGGTATCTGAAACCTTTTTAAATGAATGAGTCTCCCTTATTGTGCCGTTTTTACCTGAAGAGAGTTGTCTTCGTTGTCGCTTCCGTTTCGCTTTCTGGCTCTTGATTTTGCGACGCTGACGGGCGCTCCCAAGTTGCTACACTCGAGCCAGCATCTTTCGTAGTAGTCCGGCATCGAGCTTCCTGGCGCCCAGCGGAGCGTGTGCGCGAGTGTTTGTTGCGAGAGGCCAGAGCGTCGTCCTTCGATGTAGAAACTGACTCTGCCTGTGTGTGCGGAAACCTGAATTGGATTCTTACAGTTCGTGAGGACTTTTCGTTATGAACCTTCTTAGAGAGTCCTGCTTTGGCTCCGTAGCGGGCTAGGTAGTCCGAGGCGATTCTGGTGTGACCTTCGAGAGTCTTGAGGACGAGTCCTGTCGAGAAAATTTAGCTTGGGGTAAGTCGGATTCGGATTTTACCTGATTCTCGGTCTCTCACTTGTGCTCGGAGCTCGAGAACTAGCGGGACGCCGCGCTTCATTTCCATTGGAATGGTGAGAGTCTCCATGCGTTTGCAGAATGGGTCCGTTTTGCTGGTTCGGATGTGGAATCGCCAGAACTCTTTTCCGTCCTCCTTGACGCTTTCGCGATCTTCGATTCTGAGGTTGAGGGCCTCCTTCATTCTGGAACCCGTGGTGAAGCAAATGAAGAAGGCGATAACTGCTTCTCTTGGCTTTGGCTTGTTTGTTTTCATAAGCTCTTCCCACAACTGAATCGCTTCGGGCTCGTCGACGACTTCCGCTTGCTTAAGGAAAGGGTTATCGCCTAGAAGAGCGGAATTGGTTTACCTTGGGGTATTGGAGCGTCTCGGCTGCGGATTCCCGAGCTCTGTGCTCGCACCAGGTCTTGATCTTCCTTTTCTGTTTGGCCCTGAGAGTTTTCTTCGTTTGAGACGCGATTACGTCTTGGATCGTTGTGATTCCTTTTTCGTAAGCGTAGGCCTTGAGTCTTGGTCTGATGAGGAGCCTGTCGAGAAAGTGCTGAATCACGTCGTCGGTCTCGGCTTCGTCATAGCTGAAGGTAGCCATTGCCTCCGCCACTTCCCAGTGTTCTAGAAGATTCTTGTAGTCGAGCCAAGTCATGAATCTGAATTGAGTCTTTTTGGGCTCGAGTTTTAGAGGGCCTGGATATTTAAAGTGTGAAAGGCTTTTTAGATTGGCAGTGTTTTTGAAAAAGAAAAACTAGGCGAAAAACTGCGCACTGCCAGAGGCTGTTCTTCGCTTAAGGAGTGGATTGATTCTTAAAGAGAGTCTTGAGATTATTCGACTCCGCCTTGGTCTAGAAACTTCTTGGTGTCTCCTCCTTGATTGCTTCTACCGCCGCGGCCTCGCCCGCGACCTCGTCCTCGGCCTCCCGAATGTCCGCTTCCTTCGGCGTTGAATTTGGGGCTCGCATTTTCCCCTTGATGGTCCGTTTTCTGCTTCTTGCTTTGGCCGCCATTCGAGTGTCCTCCTCGGCGCCCACGGCCTGGTTTAGAGTCTTTTTCGGTGCGCCAGTCCTCCGAACCATCGCAGAGATTAATGATCATCTTTTTGAAGGTCGGATGAGTCGTGTTCATTGTCATGGCTCTGTCGAATTGGTGGCGCACGTTTGGGCGCATAACCGGCTAAAGCGGCTAAGGATTATGAGTCGTGGTGTTTTTTTTAAATGGTAGGTTTACCGTGAGGGATAGAAGCGCGTCTTTGCGAGTCATGTCCGGCATACGAATCAGTTCGTCGACGACGCTTTCGATGATCGCCCGCTCGGTGTACTCGGGAGTCATGGCTCTCTTATAGTTTCCGAGCAACTTCAGGAGCTTTTCTCGTCTGAAGGTCCGTTGAGTCTTGGCATCCGTGACGAACGCCCGGAATTCCTTGCCCATGTCTCGGAGGGAGTCTCCTTCATCTTTTGGCAGGCTTGTCGAGCCGACTTGAGTCTGAAAAATTAGGATTTTAGATTTTTTCTTTTCTTTTTTACTTTTTATTCTTACCATGAAATAGGATTCTACGCCAGTGAGCGGGTCCTTTTCCTTGAAGACCGCTGCAGACTCGGTCGTGTTTTGGGAGAGCTCGGTGATTTTCGTCTCCCGAGCTTTGATTTGGGCGAACATGGACCCCTTGAGGCTGTAGCGCTCCATCTTGTCGGCAATCAGGCGGCGGAGTTTAGATTCTATTTCCGATGGATTCCAACGATCATAAAATTTGTTCTCCTCCTCCGATCGCTTTTTGGCGTTGGGCTCTCGTTTTTTGATCTCGAGACTCTTGTCGCGGTTGGCTTCGAGTTCCGCGATCTCTTTCTATAATGAGAGGGAGTTTTTCCGCGTTTAGTGGAGATTAACTTACAATGAGGAAGTCGGTGAGCTTGTCGTGAGTCGCCATGTCTTTTCTGATATCCTCGATTTCCACGATGAGTCGGTCAGCCTCTTCCGTTTGAGCTTGAGTCTTTGAATGCTCATAGAATGCTGCCTTGGTGATCTGGACTCTGACCGCCCGCGTTTTCGCTTCCTGCTCCGTGAGCTTCGTGTGGTCAGAGAGAAGCTTGGAGAGGGTCTTGGTCTGTTCTGCCATTTTTTCAATTGATTCCGAGTCTAAAAAATAGGAGTTTTGAGATTCAGATTTTATATTTTCCGTGGATTGGCTGAATGGTGAATCTAAGAGAGAGGTTACAGAGCCTCAGAGTCTATTAGCAATAATTTTTATGGTTGAGATGTTCGTCGCGACTTTCCAGTAGCCTTCAGCAGTTTTCACTTTTGAGGGCGTGAGGATGGAATCCGCCGGTATGTCAAAGATTCTGTAGCCTTTGAGTCTGGCCTGTGTTACCACTACTGGTTCGGCTTCAAAGCATGGCACCACCAGAGCCCATGGCGTCGCTATTTCGGTGAGTCTGTTGTAGTATTTTTGAGAGATTTTGGAGGCGGGAACGCATATAATTTTCTTCCGATAAGTGCGTGGATTGGCAAGCTTAGGAAGTCTTTTCCAAAGGCTCCTTTCGTCTCTCGGCGTGCGATGAAGTCTCTGCATTTATTGTTGAGTGGCTGAACGGAATGAAAGTTTATTTGCGAGTCCGCTTCGCTGTTTGAGTCTTACCGTTGCTGCCACGTCGATGTCGAGCAGATCCCGGAGGTGAGATTGGAGATAAGCGAATCCGATTGCCGTTAGTTTTTGCTCCCTTGAGTCCAAATCCCTGGAAGGAGCGTCGGCCAGCTGCTTCTTTGTGCTGACCCAATCGACCTTCATGTCTATGTTGAAACGATGCGCCAGAGTCCAGATTCTGACTAGAATCCGGTTCATTTCCGGGTCTTTGCTACCCGCTATCGCTCCTTGAACCACACTGTCGTTGTCGCAGAGAAACAGTGCTTTCTTGTTCTGAAGCCGTACCACTCGAGCGTGTATTTGATCGCGAGGGCTTCTTTGATACCGATGTGTTTGTCTGCTACGTCCGGCTCCCACGCGAATCTTTCTTCTAGCTTCCAGTGCTCGATGACGATGGCTCCTGCGTGCGAAGAAGCGTCTGTGTATACAGTGAAACCCCAACTTAAGGCCAAGCAACTTAAGGCCACTTTTTTGAAAAAACCCAAAAATATGTCATCCGAAAAAAATCCAACTTAAGGCCACTTTTTTTCCATTTTTATTCACAGTAAGTAAATCGCAGGAAAACAGGCGAGAAATGGGGAAGATAAGATATTTTTCGTAAAAAATTTCTTGGAATTTCTTTTCCGGTTTCTTGTCGATTTAATTTGGTCCAATGCCTCTTGAGTCCTTTTTCTTCCAGAAGATTCCAGAGTCTCCATTCCTCTCGGACTTCTTGAGTCAGAATGCAGGATTCTTCTTCGTTTCTGATGGCTTCACTGATGAGGATTGTTGTTTGACGGATGAGCATTCTCATGTTCGGGAGGACTTCCGCCATGCTTGCCATTGTGCCTCTGATTCTTTCCAGCGTCCGCGTCGGAATTTCTGCCTCTGCTTCGGCCTCTTTCATGAGATTCTTTAGGGCTGACCACCTTGGGATTTGCATCTCTACCGTTTCGTTTTCTGTGTCTAGAATGAAGCCCAGGAATTCTATTCTTTGGGTAGGCTCGAAGGTGCTTTTCGCGATGTTAACATAGCCACCTAGCGCTACTAGCGTCGCTACCGTTGCCCAGACTTCCTTGCTGGTTTTTTCTCCCGACAGCAGTTGGCGGCGTTCTTCTTCAGATTCTGGAGTAACAGCCAAGAGTCTGTCATCCAAACAAAGCGTGATTTTGATTCCGTTTTTCCTCAGGAAATTGACTCCACACAGATTCATGAGTTGGTAGATTCCGGGCGCGGCTGGGATTCCGAAGGCTAGGATATTGTTTCTGAAATATTGGCCTCCCCATTCGAAGCAGGCGAGTTTCTTGCTCTCTTCGCTGAGCGGGAGCTGGTGGAATCCTAGATTTGAGTTTTTAGTTCTGAGGCTTTTGCTGTTGTTTTACCTTTTTTATCGTCGAATTTGTACAGTAGATCCCCTCTTTTGAGCATCTGAATCGCTGTTCCAATGCCTTCCAATTTACACGGGAACGTGTATAGTTGAAGCGGTTTGAGAACTCCACCGTTCCAGCAGACTCTTGTCTCTCTGCCTGGCTTGTCAACCAGAAAGAATCCCGCGCGGATCCAGCATCCTTTGGCTTCTGTGACTCTTGTTACTGAGCCCATTTCGCACCAGTCGGTGATTTGTTGGGCAATCTCATCGCTTCTTTCTCTTACAGCTTCCTGGCTCGGGATTGTGAGAGTCTTGAATCGCTTGCCGATTTTTTCGTATGGTCGAGGCACAAATTTTGAGAGTCGTAGTCTGTGGTTGTACCAGGTTTTGAAATTTCCGTCCATCTTCCTAAGAGTGTCCGCGTTGGCTGCGTTTCTTTTCCAAATAGTTACCAGTTCCTTTCGCTAAAATTTGACTGGCTTCTTCGGCGGTATTCTTTTGAGATTCAAAAATAGGTCTGCTCCTGCGTGGACGAAGTGGTAGATAAAAGGCTTCACTTTCTCGGGCATCTGATGGATTAGGACTCTCCAGTTATCTTTGTTGTGGGTCCATTGGCCGGCGATGAAATCGGATTCTTTTTTGAGCGCCAGGTCCCTCCAGTCGGGCTTGATCTCGTTATTAAGGACTTTTATGACTCTGTGAAGCAGATCTGTCTCGTAGACTCTCCATTCAGGTAAGGATTTTGGGCCGGTGATTGGATCGTTGTGAATGTTTACTGGGTTTATGATTGGAAATCTCGGTCTATTGAAGATCCCTTTGTTCGCCATGGCCTGCATCTCTGATTCGATTGTTTCCCAGCTCTTCGTCTTCTTCGTTTGCTCTCTTTCGTTTGAATCCCGCGGCTGTGCGGGCGGACTCATAGCTTCTCGGAATCGGGATTTTCCAGAAGAGTTTCTCGTATGTGGTGCCATAAAGTGAGGATGGATCTTCGAGTCCTCTCTCGAGGCGGTTGTCGATGTCGTTGAGATTGAGGGCTCTATATTCAGCATCAGCGATGCAATCTCTCGGTGGCCAGATTTTACGCAGCGTACGGATTGCGTCCCAGGCCGTGTAATCTTGATTCGAGTCAATGTTCGTTAAGAATTCTTTGAGCGTCAAACTAATGGGATTCGATGCTCCGCAAAGCGTGTTAAGGTGAGTTCATGCTGATCTTGCTGCACTTGATAGGAGTCTTGGAAAGATGCATCGCGTGTTCGTTATCTGGAAAAGGATTTCTCCAAATATTGAGTTGGCGATGGAGATGCAGAGTTGTCTTTCTTTCGCGAAGGAAGCGTGTCTTTTGTCCGGGCTCAACTCTAGAATCTTTTTGAATCTGATGTTCCAAATGTGAGCTATGAGCGTCATTCTTGGTGATGCTCGAGAGTTGAGGTTTTCTGGTGGCTTGCATCTCGCTAAGATCATTCTGAAGATGGCTTCTGCAGATTCATTACAGAGTCTTCCCAAGATCCAAGCGGCGGCCTCTTCTAGCTTCCGAAGATCATCTTTTGAAACTGAGTCTCTTTCCAGTGGCTCCATCATTTTGGCCCAGAAGGTTATTTCCGCCGAATTGTAGACGCTAGAAGCGTGGACTTGCTTCATTAGCTTCTCCACCACAGGTCTAACTGTCAGTTCCAGCGTGTCTTGAATCGTCTCTAGATCCACCTTGTTTGTGGACGCTTGTCTTCGGTTGATTCCTATGGATGGGCTGTGCGCGATTATGGCAATGGTTTGGAAGGCGTCTAGCAGTTGAATTCCCTGGAGACCCTCATGCTCGGCTTCTTGGAGGATCGTTTTCATAATTTTTGAGGCCTCTTGGGACTCGGAGATGATTTTGGCAGCTTCTGTTGCTAGATTATTGATCTTGTCATCCAGCGTCTCGCCGTAGCATAAGATTCTTTTTGGTGGGATGGAAGCGTTTGTGTTGAGGCTGTTTTGGATGTCCCAAACGAGCCCTTTGAGTCTCTCCAGGTTCACGCTAGTGCTTTGCCCTTGCTGAGGATTCTTCGAGTCAATTTGGCTCTCGTTTGGCGGGCTTTCCGGTTGGTCCGAAGGTGGAGCTTCGTCGTTCGAGTCTTCTTTTTAGGGGCTCTTTTTTTTTAAAGTCATTGGTTAAGAGGATTCTGGCTTTTTTGTGACTCTTTGTTGCCCTGGCCTGACTCTGAAGGTAATTTATATTCCTCTGGCATTCCTTCAGGCTCTGCATTTTGACTCTCCATTCTGAATTTTTGGCTCTTTTAATTTTGGCGAGTTTTCATATATTTTAATAACAAGATTTTTTATCTTGTAGCTTGAGGATTTACGGTTTAGATTCCTATTTTATGATGCTTCGAAGTAAATAGGCGAGGATCTTCTGGTGAGATCGAATTATTTATTATGTACAGCTTTTTTGGAATTTGGAAAATGGAAAGAGGTAAGTTCTGTTTCAATGTTTTGAGGAAAAAGGCAGTATGAGTCTAAGAGTCTGGAAAGAGTTTCTTCTCTTCTTTTTCTAGTAGTGGCGTGGAGGTTTTGGGGCGGCGTCTGAGTGCACTGGGGGAATCGGGATGTCGTGGAGTCTGAAGAGTCGGACGAACACGAATCTTTCTGCTCCGCCGCTGACTCGAAGAGTGTGTCTGTGCGTCTGCTCCAGTCCTGTTGTTCCTTCTGGGCTTGAGTCTCTGGGAATCCGACTGTAGCTTCATCTTCTTCTCCGCCGGATTCTTCCATGATTTCTTCGTCTGAAGAAAAGCCATCTTCGGAGTCTATTGGAGCATTTTGGCTGGCCGGAGGCATGAGTTGAGTTGGGTCTTTTGGGTGGAGTCTTTTGATTGTTACAGTTTTAATATGATTCCCTTTTTATGTGGTTACTTTTGCTCGATTTTCGATGTTTATGAATTTTATGACTCCTTCCTGAACGGGCGTTGTACGAGTCTTCGTACAGATCTGGTTCTGAGACGCTGTCTGCCTCTTCGTTGTTGGCCGAGTCTTGTGCTGGAGCAGGGTCTGGTTGCTGAGTCTGAGTCGAAACTGAGGAGGTTGGATTCTCCGTCTGAGTCGCCGAGTCTGCCGAGTCTGAATCTTTCAGAAAGAGGGTTTTGAATTGTTTTTTTAATGGATTTTCGATAATTTTGGATTCTTTGAAATCAGGACTGATTCTATTTTTTGAATTGGCCTAAGTGAGTCAAAATTGAAAGGCCAAGAGCTCATCCACCTTTTCTTATGTGGATTTGTTTTATGGTGCGTCATTTTTTCTTTTAATTTTAATTCGAGTTTTAATTCCGATTATTATTCTCAATGAATCTCTTTTTCTTTGAGATTCTTACAGCCTTTTCCTTGGGTGGTTTGGGATTCCTGGCATTTTGCCTGCTGCGCTTCCACCGGGTGAGTCTGAGTCGTTCCGTCTCGCCGCGACGTCCAGCCGATGGTCCTTGAATCGCGTCTTGCCAGCGTAGCTGCAATGTCTTTCGGGACTCCATCGCTGACGTACTCGTTTCGTCTTTGCTTCTTCCAGCTACGCAGAGAGTCTTTGCCATCTTTGGAGAGTCGATCTTGGCGGAGGAGAAAGTCCGCTCTTGACTTTTGAAAGGGTTTTTTAAAGTTCTAAGGCTCGACTTAATGTGTAAAGTTTTAATTTGACCCTTTTCCTTGAGAGCTGAGACTCTTTCTTGATACGCTGGGAGTCTTCCTTCCGGGATCACGAGTGACTCCTCAATGTAGACGATGTTGAGGAGCGGGTGGACGTCCATGGCGGCTTTGGCGGCGTTGAGGCAGCCGTAGAAGAGACTGTGGTCTGACTGGGCTCGGTCGTCCTCGGCGATTTTCTGGTTTTCTTCGCGCACGAGCTCGGAGAGGACTCGGGAGATGTCGTTGATGGATTTCTGCCAGCCATCGAGGGACATCTGAGCGTTGGGGTCGGTGAGTCCTTTAATGAGAGTCAGAATTTTTTAATAGAAGCAGAATCTAAGGCTTGAGAGTCTGTTATGGAAATTGTTTTTCAAGATTTAAATTTTCTTTTAAGTTCTTTTTTCTTTTTATTCTCTGACCCATTCCTTCGACCATTTGCTCGAGAAGATTTTTGAATCTGTCTCCAATCTTCAGTCTGAGTCGAATGAGCATTCGTCCCTTCGATTCCTGCGGGAACTGAGTCACCGGGTCCATCTTGATCGCCGATTTGATCTTCCTCCAGTAGTCTGGCTCGTCGATCGGGTTTTTGGTTATTCCGGCTTTCTCTCGGAGTCTTTCGAGCTCTTCAGCGTCGTGAATCTGTGCGTCTTGTGCGTCTCGGGTCATTTCTAGGGTCTGAAGAAACGCCTTTGTTAGCAAAGAATCGAAATTTTGGTTTTGGCTAGTTTTGTTTGGAAGAGCGCAAGGAAAATTTGAAAAGAAAGAGCGAAATTTTAAAAAGAAACACGAGAAAAAAGAGTCTAAATTAAGATCCGGAAGGAAAGAATCTTTTTTTTTTTGATTCTCTGGTTTTGACGCGTCTGGTTCTAGCGTAATCCGGTGGTTTTTCTCTTTATAAAGGGCTCTGGATGATTCTCTTTTTGTTGGAGAAAAAATGATTCTGATTTAGGCAATTTTCGCTTGAGCCCTGGCTTATCCTGGCTCGTTTTGGTGCTCCGCCAATCAGCGCGCTCTATTTCGTGAGACAACTTTGCCACTTTCCCACGGTCTCCAATTTGGATTTTATGCTATTTGATTCCAATCTTTAGATTCTTGAGACCATTTCCTGATTCTTGTGCTCTTTCGGATCTTTTTTGTGGAGATTGGTGGTTGAGGAGGTGCGCAATTCGAGGAAAAAGTGTTTTTCTCTCGTAAGACTCTTTTTTCTGTGATTTTTGCTAATTGAGAGTGAAGTAGATTCTTTTTGAGTGAGAATTTATCAGATTTAGCGAGTCTTTTCCTGAGGTTTGAAGATTCTTGAGCTTGTTTGCGGCAGAAAAGGGGGGTTTTTGGGCGATTTTTGAGTCTTTTCGAGGGCTCCGAGTCTCTTTTTCTTTTCTTTTTACTTTTTCTTTGGAAATTTCTGATTCTTTTGGGCCCTTTTCCTGACTGTATTTTTGGTGAAGTTTTTGGAGTCATTTTCTAGTCGCTTTCCGTGGCTTCAGCGACATTCAGACGAGCGAATCGTTCTTCGATGTTTTGACGGTCTTGAGACCAGACGTTCGGGAAGAGATTCTCGACTTTGGCTTCCTCTCCGTGGTCTAGGTCAAGATTCTCCGCTGCCTTGATTCCGTCGAGGATTATGTCCCTGATGTGGGTCGTGAACGGTGCGTCTGGGACTAGAATGTGGGTTTTGGCCGTCACATTCTCCCAGGTTGTTCGATTGGCTCTTATTTTGAGCTTGTATATTTTCGAGACTGCTCGGTTTTTAGCGTCGAAGCCGTTGCAGCATCTGACCATGGTTTCCGCCACCCTAGGGTGTGCCCAACACGGGGTAAATGCAGATTCGTAGTCCCAATCGCAGGCCATTTGGAAGATTTCCCAGAGTCCCGAGATTCTTGGGTTTTTGTCCCCTTGGAGTGTTCGATGAAGACTCTTCGTCGGGCCCTGGGTGACGAATTTAACGTAAGGTGCCGACCAGGTGACGAGAGCTTCTCTGAGTTTCTTGGCGTCTTTTTGTGAAGGGAGAATCAGCACCGTGTTTTTCTGGCATGTGAGTTCGCTGATAATTTTCGCCACTTCCATCCATTTGTCTCCAGATTTTTTGGAGATAGAATCCGCCAGTCTCGGGAGATGTTGATTCTTTCTGGCTGAGGTGTTTCCAACTACGAAAGCGTCGAATTTTCCTCCGCATCTTTCTAGCCCTGCGTGGTAGATGACTATTCCAGCTGCTCCCGGATTCTCGAATCGTGGCCTTTTTAAGACTCTTCCGAACTTCCGGAGACTTTCGCTGAGGTTCGCTGCTGTGTCGTTTTCTCCTTGAAAAAGGATTGCCGTGGATTTCCAAGCGTTTACGATAGAGTCGAATCCTTCGACTTCGCTGCTCTGGATTCTTTGGATGAGGTCTTCGTCAGCGTCCTTAAGCATAGTTGTTTTGAAAGATTCGGAGAGTTTGTAGAAGGTTTCTTGCCATTCCTCGCTGTTGATGGACATTTTTGTGCCCTGGGGGAGTCCTTTCTGTATGAAGCCGTTTGCGACTCGGCATTTCTCTGAGCAGTCTGGTTGGCGAGATTCTTTGAGTTCTTGGAATCCTTGATGTGTTTTACACCAAGTCGTGCTCGCCTCCGCTTCCCCACACATTGGCCATTCGCACGATCTTTCTCTTTTTTCTGGTTGTTCTCGAAGGAATCTGAGTCTCGTGACTCCCGTGACTTCTTCTCTTTTCTGCATCCAGGTGTCGATGAAGTTGTCCAGAGTCTTGTTTGGGCTGAATCTTTTGCCATTTGCCCAGTTCCAGCCAGTTGATAAGATTCCGAGATTATGCTCGAGTGAGCGCAAGTGAGAATGGGCTTTTGTGTCTCTTACAACCTTGGCGATGATTTCCAGGATGATCTTCTGAGTTCGAAAGGGGCGGTTGACTCCGACTAAGCAGGCTCCTGAGGCGTAGAAGTTTCTCGTTGGCTTCTGGAACGCCGAGATGCATTCTTTGACGTTTTGAGTGGTCCAAGGTTTGGAGGCTAGCTTCTCAAGCGCTTCTGATTCTAACGTCGTGAGCGCTGGGTGGGCTGCAAGGGAGAGGAGGGATTTCACTTTGATATGATCAGAGTCCTCGCCGTAGTTGAAAACCCATATTTGAGGTACGACTTTGTAAGGAATCCACAGGATCCAGTGGGAATCCCCTTTTCCAACTTCTTTGACTCTAACCGTGGTATTAATCGGGTACACCTTTTTCGCCGCTGACTCCAGCCACTTTTTGAGGGACCGGGAATCTTTGAGTTCGCTCCAGTCCACGTGCCATTGGGTGGGCATTTCCTTGCAGCTTCCGTCTTGGCCAATGACTGAGTCTTGGATGAGCTGTTTTTGCACCAAGTGAAGCAGCAGTGGTGAGAGAATCTTTGTTAAGGGAGTCGGATTCGGAATGGGTGAGTCTTCCGGCGCATATTCGCCGATTATGTCGATGATCCATGCGTTCACATTCGCCGGTTTTTTGTTTGCCCATTGGGTGTCCTCGTTTGCTTTGAGTTCCAGCCAGGCATTTTTCTGATGGCAGATCTCATGCCAGTCGCTGTGGAGAGACTTCAGCATCTTGAGCGAGTCCAGTAGTTCTTCTGGCGTGATAAAAGCGTCTGACCTTGGCATTGCGTCGAAGATCGTTTCAAGACCTTTCTTTATGAGTCTTCGGAGCCAATTGTCGTCCGTGAAGCTTGGGCGTTCGTAATTCGCCTGGGTCTTGATTTTGCTCTCACCGATTACTCGGAGGCAAACGAAATGCCAGAATCCCTCGTTCAGGATATCATGATTTTCCAGGTATTCCCACTCGCGGAACCAGTCTTGGCTCTTGATTTTCGCCCATTTGTTGAGCTCCTCCGAGATGTTGTTCGGAAAGAGTCTGCTTTTCTCCTTCGCGCTTTGGGGTTCCGAGTTACGCTGAGAGTCTAGCCTTCTAGCCACGATTTTTATTGGGCCTTTTCCTATTTTCAGGGCTTCGAGAAGACTGGAGATGGTTTCGCATTCGTCCAGTTTGACGCTTGGGTCCTTAGTCGTGCCCGCTGAGTCTGCTTTTAGAAGCTTCGTGGGGCTCTCCATTGGCTTAAATGGATATGGCTTTGATTCGAGTTGCCAAGAATCCGCGAGGTCGTTTTCTGCTTCTGCAATTTCGTCTGCGATGATGGAGAGTATGAAACCAGGCTCGTTGCTCCTGTGAGCGACCCAGAGTAACTCTTTTCCTGATGGCGCCGTGAAAATGATCTGGGCCCACGAGGAGAGCTCTGCAAAATTGAATCTCGCTTTTGAGGGAGTCTGCAGATCGAACATCAGCCTGTGATTCGAGAGAGGCTCGTTTGCATCCGAAGGGACATAAAGTCTGACAAGTCTCGTGGCAATCTTATGCTCCGCCATTGCAGTGCGGGAAATTCTTCTCCAGTTTATCTGACTCATTAAGAGCAGAGTGTTTCTTGAAATGGATCAAAACCTTATCCAAAATTGGAAGGTATTTGGGGTAGCCCGCTCCTAGAAAAGATTCTGAGGAGAAGAGATCCTTTCCTGGAGATTTCCTCGTTGAGGGTTTGGAGTCTTCTTTGGGAGTTCTCGATTGGGCGTGTTGGATCCGAGTCCAAAGCCACTCCCCATTTGGGGCCGAATTCCAAAGCTGCCTTGACGAAGGCCTCCTCGATCATGTCTAAATGAGAGGGTCAGCAAGTCTAGGGCTTTGAGGAAAAGAAACAGGAATTCCGAATTTCTAAGAAGAAGGTTTCTCTGAATCAAGAAGCCTGAAGCTGATTGGCTCGGCTCGGCGCGCCGCTGCGGCCGCTTCTGAGTAAGAATCCCAGAGCCTTCGAGGCGTAATTTGCCTGAGGCTGAATGATTTTATAGTCCGTGGACTTAGAGGTGAAATAAGCAGGTAGCATCGATTGACGGTCTACCTAGAGTCTTTTTGATTCAGCTAGGAGTCTTATTGGTAATGCTTCTGCTGAGAAAAAGGCTCTATTTAAAATTCCTCTTTTTAGGTTTTAGCTGCAGGCTAAGAACCTTTTGAATGAACCTGCGTGATTTCGGGGCACCCGCTCGAAACCAGGTGCTCTCGGGCGCCTTTGACACCTTCCGCTGCTTCCTGGGAGTCCCTGCCTCTGGTTACTAGGCTTCCTGCCGCGTTCTATTTCTAGCGGGCTGCTAATCCCCTGTCCTAGATTCCTCTGAGAGTCAGTCAAAATAAAATTGTTGTGATTCTAACAAAAATGCATCTCAAAAACAAGAATATCTCAGTATCTTCGCCTGTTATTTAGTTTCGTCATGAATCGATCCCATAGCCTAAAAACGGCCGTCATAGACAACAGCATGATACGCTCTTGGTTTTTCGTTTATAAACTCTGGATTTATTGTTATAATTGACCAAAACTCTTCCTGGAAATCTAGAATATATCATCATCTTCAAGTCAGTACAGACGGAACTGCACTTAAGAATCACGGTTTCTGAGAAACATTCTTTTATTGGCACCTATATACCTATATGTGAAAGCAAGCATTTACCCGGGGTCTCAACCATGTCTCTAACCCCTGTAGACATCTTTTTCCATCGACCAATCACAAGCTTGGAGGGCCTTAGTGGCGGCTTTAGCCCGGATTTGAGTCTGCTTTCACCGGTATTTTGATAGAAGATTTGATGCTCTTTCAGAAAATAAATAATGTTG